TTGGAACACGTACGAAGTGCAAATAAATGTTATCTGTGTCAGTATCTAGCAAATAGCTAACCAGAAGGTTGTTATTTCCTCCTTGAGAGCGAGGTCTTTGTGTAAAATTTCAATAAAAGAGAGCTTACGAAGCTACTCGAGGTTCTCACTTTTGCAGACAGCCCTGTGTCTTGTGTTTCATGGGAACCGGATCACTACATACAACAGTGTTTGCTCTCTGTAAATCTGCATAGGACTTTACCATATAGAGGTTTTAACCAAATAGCACCTGTATTGTTTGCTGCACAAAATATCACTTATATGTGGTTTTATCTACTAAAGGATATTTCAGTAAAAAAGTATTTTTGAGTCATGCATGAGTCCTGAAAAATTATATGGGCATATGAACATTGCTTTCTTGGCAACAAATTATATTCCTCCATGACTTTTTTTTTTCAATTTCCCAGTTTAGCTTACAAACCTGGTATTCTTTGATTATAGTTAACCAACATCTTTTATCTGACTCTGATGGCTCAAGATCAGAATATTATGGATCACAACTTTTAATTTTCATGATTTTTTACACTTACTTTGCAGCGAATTTGTTTCTTTACAGGATAAACTTTATTCTTGTAGTTTAAAATTATGTGGACTTTCTTTGTATCAGAACCACATATATCAGGCCCTGAAACAGATAATAAAGTTTGCTTTTTGTGTTATTTAAAGTATAGAAAATGCCTCTGAAATGCCAATTATTTCAGATTGATAAAATCTTTGGCTTTCTGAATAATAAAACTTTCTACCTATCTCCAGTAATAACTGCAGATAAAAATGTAAGAATCAGGATCTTCTATGATTGAAGCCCTAATATAGAAGCTGAAAGGGAGCTCTGGAAGTATTTTAGTCAACTCTTTATCTTAGATGAACTTTAATTATTAATTATAACTTTATACCTCTGCCTAGGATTCCTCTTATTAACTTTGGGTCTTAGTGAAAAAAGTTATTTTGTTACATGATTTTAGGCAAGTTTATCAAAAGCAACTCACCAAACATGATGTAATAAAAAGATTCCCCATTCATATTCTTTTGGTCCAGACTGGAAGGAAATATTTTCACATAACCACCACCACAGTCAATTTTCTGTTCATGCTTTACTGTATATTGAATTACCAATGATTTTCCTTTATTGCTGAATAGTTTAAATCGTGATGAGATGGCATAAAACTTTAAATTTTCAGTTGTCTGCAGACCTAGAGTACATGAGAAATCATTTACCACAGACATCAGAATTGTACATAGAATTGCCAAAGTACTTTGATTAGCATAATAATTAGAAAACAATAAAAGGATAACAGCTGTCCCTAGCGTGGGGAAGAGAAAGAGAGCACAAATATCACATTTCAGACACTTATATTGGAAATGGAGAGTAAATCTTTTCAAATCTTCATGTTCTATGTTATGGTAATACAATATCTTTATCTAGATAACAATACAATCTGCTGAGCAGGGTGAGGCAATAAATAAATGAAGAGAGGGAGGGAGGATAGGTATTCAAGTAGAATAACAGATTAAGTTGGAAGGGACCTTAGAGTCTTCTAGTCCAACCCTTTGCTCAAGTAGGAAACATATAACATGTCAGACAATGATTGTTCAATCTCTTTAAAAACCTCCAGTGTTGGAGCACCCACAACTTCTGGAGGCAAGTCATTCCCTCATTTGTGTATATAGGACTACGATCCCAAAATTAGCAGAAATGACCTCTGAATTAGAACCAAGGACAGGTGGGGAGAAGACAAAAGCATATTATCATAACTGGCTTTTAGTACTTCTAATCTCACTGTGAACTTAAAAAAAATCTTCTAAGGAACAGAAATCATATTCAAATGATGGGTATCCATATAAATAATTATGAATTTGACATAACTCCAAACCTTTATCTGCTTCACGATCACCATAAAAATTTCCAGCTGTCCACCTGACTTAAAAAAAAACTGTTCAAAGGAATTCTAAGCAATGCACTTTAGTTACATTCTCAAAACTGAAAGAATGCAGCCTTCTTTCACATTTTAGTTAGGCTTTATTAGATGCTGGGATGATTTAAAATTTCACCATGAACTCTCCCAAAGGCACTTGAGTGGAAGGAACAAACAACGATTCATCTTCCATTTTTTAAAAATATAAAATCCAACTAATATCCTGAAATCCACACCCTTAGACTGAACAAGTGAGTGTGTTGGTAAATGAGGAACAGGAGAGAAAAAGTAATACTTTTTATATTAGCGGAGATAGATATGTTCTGAAATGTTGCCTTATGTGAAAAATAATGTAGATGCCTAGTAGTTAAGTGGAATGAATTTTCAGTCAGTTTCAGAAGTATAAACTGTGTTTCTCCTATGTACACTATCACAGTTGAATGTATTTGACTTCACAGTTTAGCCTAGACATTCAATACATTCTGGTATTATTTCTTTTCCTAATACAATAATTAGGTCCAATCCTACTTAGCTTTAGATCCTAGACAAGGTTAACCAGGAGCTGCTTCCCATCAAGGCATTTGTTTCTTAAGGTATTAGCCCTAACATCTGATTAATGATGCATTTCTGCTCCCCCCCTTGTGAGTGACAACTAGGACAATTTGTATGTACAGGACATGCCCAAGACTATGATCCTGAAATTAGCAGAAATGATCTTTGAATTAGAACCAAGGACAGGTGGGGAGAAGACAAAAGCATACTCTCATGACTGGCTCTTAGTAGTTCTAATCTCTGTGTGAATTTTTTAAAAAATCTTCTAAGGAGCAGGAATCACATCCAAATATGAATATCTATATAAAGTATTATGAATTTCACATTAACTCCAAACCTTTGTCTGCTTCACGATCACCATAAAAATTTCCAGCTGTCAATCTAAATTTTCCATAGTTGGATTTATACTGAGAGACCACCCATCTCTCCTTCCATTTTGCTGTTAACAAAAATGAAAATATTTGTCACCAAATGGAACTGTTAGTAATAGCAAGCCAGGGACTAGAAACAAAACCAGAGACAAAAAAAAAGTAAATACAATACACAAAAGGCAGAGTGCTAATGATAGGTATAAAAAGTTGGAGTGGATAGATAACACATACATATTAGATGATCAATAGTAGTACATACATGTACTTATGCACCCATCCATGTACGTGCAGTCATTGCAAATTTGGACAAAAATCAGATTAGAATGACAAGCACTCAACAAGTAAAAAAACGTAAGACGTGGAAATGGAATTCAAGAAGAATGCAGTCAATGACCAAGTCAAACTTTAGATGCTTAATTGTTCTAAAATCAACAGCGACTCTTTGATGAAAAGAAACTAGCAATTAAATACAGGTTACAACCACAAAATATTTTTGGTCATCCACAAGACCATTGTTTTTGCAGCAAAGTCTCAGCATGACTTTCCTGCTGAAAGTGGTTACAACTGCTACAGAATAATTGGAAATCACCTATTTCAGTGATGGCGAACCTTTTAGAGACCGAGTGCCCAAACCGCAACCCAAAGCCCACTTATGTATTGTCGGGTGCCAGGTGGGTGTGGCCCATTGGGTAGGTGTGGCCCATTGGGTGGGTGTGGCCCATTGGGTGGGCATGGCTGTGGTGGTAACGGCAGACTGGGTGGGACTAAAAAGTTCAATCAACCAAATCCAACTTTGCAAGATCTTTTTTTTCCCATGAGAAGTTGAAATTGACTGATTGATTGAACCTTTTTTTTTTGTACACGGCGGCGGAGGCCTAAAGCGAAAAGGCTTTACAAAATCCAGCTGAAGGCCCAGGACTGGGGCGACGGCGCGCGTGCCCACAGAGAGGACTCTGAGTGCCGCCTCTGGCACCTGTGCCATAGGTTCGCCACCACTGACCTATTTGGTAGAGAGAAGAAAAAAGGAAGTCATACAGGGATCATATTGCAGTACTTTTGAAACATTGTAACACTATATAGGATACTTATTTAATTCTATAGAGGTCTGAATTGTTCTACATTACTATATTATTATACAACAGAAGAGAACATAGCAGGATCCTTGGTGCTCTCTGAAATGGTTGTTTGTTTGCAGACCTACCAACCAGGTAATAGCATTAGTGGGAGTGAGTGTGGAGTTTGCTCCCTGTTTACCGGTATATCTAAAAGCTTACCCTGCCAGTTTTGGTGGGGAATATTTTCTCCTTGGTAGTTCCTTGATTAGGGTATTGTTTTCTGTTTATTTGCCTAGGGCTAATCCCTATTTATCTAGGTGTTGGCTGCTGAAAGGATATGTTTTGGTGTTTTTGTTTCCTTTGTAGTTTTTTTTTATTGTCTTTTGAATTGTGTGTAAATATGATTTATTTCTATGTGTCTACTGAAGGCTGATTTGTCTGAATGCCAAACTTCCAGAAATTCCTCAATGTTTTTGCATTTAACTTGGTCTAAGTTGCTCACTTTCCTAATTGAGTCAATTAAAAGCTAAAACGGAAAAAAAAAAAGTAGAATACATCCTCTCCAGCAGCCAACACCCAGATAAGCCAGGGTTAACTCCAGGCAAACAATCAAGCAAAAAACCCACATCCCCATCAAAACTGACGGGGAAAGGTACTGTATATAAACAAGGAGCAAACCCCATACTCACTGCACTGATGTTACCTAGGAGGGTAAAGAAATGTTTATAAGCAAACAATCCAGCTCAGAAATTAGTAAGGACTCCACTGCTGTATCATCCTCAAGATCTAAGTGACAAATATTTACCCAATGATTTATTTTTCTTTTGTCTTGGGGATTTATCTATATTTTAATTAGTTGACTGTTTAGCCAGCTAGCAAATCCTTTAATAATGAAAAAAAACCACCCTGAAAAACGGAATATGCATGAAAGCCTTTGAAATGAATAAAAACCTGAATTATACCATCTCTGGATGGGGCTGCTATGTGTTTGTGTTATTACATTTATGGGTGGCCAAAGATATTGGTAACCCCACTTTTCCTCAAGGGAGCCCAATTTGCTGTGAACTAACTTGAAACTGAAACAAGTAAATGTCATCCATCATTCTTTATTCCATAGTCAATAAAGGACCCTTGATGTTGATTCTGATTTAACTAATTCATGAAACAATAACACAAATGAAAATGACATGAACATATTTTGTTTCTAATACGGGAACAAAATCAGGAAAATGATATTCCTAATTATTTTGTAGTACACAAAATAACAGACAATAACTGCAATCAAGATTTTCTGAATCTCTGAATAATTTGTCACATTCTTCTTGAGCTATCCTTTTCTAGATGTCTTCGGTCTGATGGATTTCTCCTCACAAGTATGAGTTTCAGCTCTCTCCAGAGATATTGAAGACTAAATCCAAGCCCTTGGATTTAGATCAGGACTCATAGCAGGCTACTTCAGAACAGTCCAATGTTTGCTTTTCAACCATTCTTGGGACCTCTTAGATGTACCGTATGTCATGGGTTATTATCCTGCTCAATGAGCATGATCTATGGCTGAGACTTTTCTAACACTGGATATTATGTTTTGGTCCAGAATGCCTTGACAGTTTTCTTATTTCATTGTGCCCTAAATAGATTCAAGGCCCCCAATAACATTATAGTTATAGAAATTGATTGATTGAATGAATGAATGAAAAAAATGAATGATGGAGCCTCCTCTATGTCTTAGTCAGGATGGTAGTATTTCTTTTAAAATATTGTTTTTTCCTGTGTAAATATAGAGCTCCTATGACATACCCCAAAAAGCTCTAATTTTGCTTCATCTATTCAAAGAAGGTTCTTCCAGAGAGGCTGTGGCTTGTCAACCTGCATTTTAGCAAACTCCAGTTTGGCTTTTTCATGTTTTTTTCTTTCAGAAGGGGGAGTCTTCCTAGGTCTTCTACCATGGAGCCACTTTCAATCAGATGGTGTAAGAAATCAGCCAGGGTATGTTTTGAATATTCTCTATTCAATAACCCTTCTGTTCAATCTTGTCAACTTTCCTTTTAGCCATGGTCCAGGAGGTTGGCTAAGGTCCCAACGACTTCAAACGTCTTGATAATATTAGCAAGCATGGTTACAGGAACATAAGACTCTTTGGAGCCTTTACCATGCCTAGCTATTACTGTACTTTTTTCCTTTCCTCCTCATACAACTCTCAGCTTTTCTTTCTCTTGTCTTTATTAAATATGCTGTATACAATGACACAAAACAAGCTGACTGAAAGGCAGCTGTGATACTAATGAAAGTAGTCTTGAGATCAATAAAATCCAGTATCTTTTAATGGTACCAGTAATTATATTCACGCATTTTTGTTCTTTAATTATTTACAATATGTTTAGTAATCCATCAAATGCAAAGTTGTCTGTTTTATCGACGATAAAATAAAAAATGCCATTTACTTGAATCAGTTTCAACTTATTTCACCTTAAATTGGGATTCTTTGGGAAAAAAATTGGAGAGGTACCGATACTTTTGTCTGTGCCTGTATAACTTGCCTTCCTGATAACTCCAAACGCTTTAAACCAGTGGTTCTCAACCTTTTTAATGCCGCGACCCCAACCGGTCGTAAGTCGAGGACTAAACTGGTCGTAAGTCGAGGACTAAACCGGTCGTAAGTTGAGGACTACCCAACTGGTCGTAAGTCGAGGACTTTCCCTGCCCGGGAGCGCCGCGCATGCGTGGTTCCGCCCCCTGCACTGGCCGAGGCGTAGCTGGCAGGCGGCAGAGACGGAGCAGGCCGACCACCAGCTGGCCCAGCCCAAGGGAGGTAAGGCACCCGCCGGAAAAGGGAAAAAAAATGGACAAAAAAAATGGCGGACAGCCTTGCTTGGCGACCCCCGTGAAATGGTCGATCGACCCCAAATGGGGTCCCGACCCACAGGTTGAGAACCACTGCTTTAAACTTTTTCCTTTCATAAACTATGTGTCAGATTGGGCTGAGAAGTAATATCTGATCCCATATCAGAGGGAACACTATCCCCTCCCTGTCCACTATCTTAATCCTTCCACATTTTGCACAATATCACCTCCATCACATTTAAGCTAGGATTAATGGTTCTTCGGCCTTTGCAGCCCAGATCCGGTGGCTTCATTTAAGAGCAGGGTGTTAAAAAAAAGTATGTTTACGTAAAGGAGACCGCGGGCAGTGTTGGGAGGGACTCGTCGCTCCCACGTAACGCCGCTGCTGCGCGAGCTGCATTGGCTGCCGGTGGCCTTCCGGGTGCGCTTCAAGGTGCTGACTATCATCTTTTAAGGCGCTCCATGGCAG